TATATAATTAATCTAACTACTCGTCCACAAAACGAAACTAACGTAAATGTCTTCTTCGGGCGTAGGTATTGACAACCTCCAGTCACCGCTCCTCCATGATGCGGCGGCAGTCGACGACGGCTGTTCTAACACTGAGAAGCTAACCGTGGACGGCGCTTTGCAAAAATACTGCGGCGAGTTCGGGTGGTGGCAGTTCAGGCACTTCGTGCTGGCCAGCATGGCGTGGGCCCTAGAGGGAATCCACACCATGGTCATGGTCTTCGCCGACCGTGACCCCGGCTGGCGTTGCTCTTCTCTCTCCACCGCCTGCTCGGCGGCCGGGAACGTCTGCGGGCTCGCTCCGGGCACGTGGGAGTGGGAAGGGAGCTCCTCAGTTGCCGAGTTTGGGCTGATATGTGATCAGAAATATCGGGTTGGGCTTGTCCAGTCTCTGTTTTTCGTGGGCTGTATGATCGGTATGTCGTCGTCCTTAATTTCATCGACCTATTATTGCTACCTTTTTTGTGCATGACATTAAAAGTTAAAACTCCCCCCAAAAATTGGACTCCATTCTAGTTAAATAAAAAGTGTTATTGCATAATTAATCATGCATGATACATTGCATATCATTTACAAGTACTACATGGTCGATATCATGCATATCAGAATTCCTCATTAATTAATACATAGACGTTTGTTTGTGTTTTATTTTAACATATCGTTTACATTATGTAACAAGTTAATTATGTAAAAAATCATAAAACAACCACTACATATAGCAAATTGTTTCTAAAAACCGAATGAATATAATGAAAGTATGATTTGGATCAGAGGAATCAGAACTGATATGGCAAGTAAGCAAGTCAGTTCGAGTGGGCAAAGTGAATGATGAAAATTCAATTCGAGTGGACGATTAATCTTTTTTCGATCTCTCCACTTTTTTTTTTTTTTATCATTTATCTTTTTTATCTTTATATGTTCTTGTGTTTTTATCTTCTAACTTTTTACGCTCTTTTATCTTTTTATCTTTTATCTTTCTTATATTCTTATGTTATTGTTATCTTATACGATAAGTCGATAATATTTATTATCTTTATCTTATCGTTTAATCTTTTTTTTCTTCTTGTATGTCTTCTCCTTTTTGTGTCGATATCATGGATCAATTTATGTTAGCCGATCTCAAAATATTTTGATATTAATGTTTGAATGTATATGAATCGGAAGTATTTCAAACGAGTGAGGACAGAAAAGGCATGTTATACATTTTTGTGTACATTTGAGCATTTAATATTAGTAAGTGGCTGCAGGTGAAAAATGAATGGGGTACAAGAAAGATAGCCTAATTAAGTTTGTTGATTCGATGTAAAAATGTGATGGGTCAATTTGACATAAGGGTTAACAATACTCACTTGTCACTTTGATACACACACACATGGTTACATTTCAAATTGTCCACGCCAATATCTGAAGGGGTGTATGCACGACTAAAAATGGTCTAGAAAAAGCATAGTCCATGTCCTCCAAATCCAATATAGGATATCTACGTTGATTGTCAAAAAGGACACCAAAAATAATCAACATAGACTTTGCTCGCTTATTTCTTCTCCATTGCTTGTTACGTTTAATTTATTTATATTTAATTCATTTCTCCACAATACCCAGCATTGTATTTTTCTTTATTTCTAACATAGTAAAATACATAAATTGTAAATAAATATATAGAGGCTTTTTCCAATATATATGTGTATATATAATTCGATTCACATAAGATCATGGTCTAAGGAGAAAAATAAAAATAATTTTAGAGTACATTAAAAATCACATTAATTGTGCAATTTGTGCATTATGTGATACCGAATGTGCACTATCCATAACTTGTACTACGGAGTAGTAAATTTTTATACGTACATTCTTGAAATTGAGATGTACAAATACCACACTTATCCTTTTAATCTAAACCTCTCAATCTTTATCATAAGCGGTTATCACTTAAAAATCAGCAAGAACTTCAATCTCTTCCATATCATCATTAGTTACCCAATCTAGTCTTGCTATAATAATATATACGGAGTATAATATATTTCCTTTCTTGATCCGATATCACTTTTTCTAGCTTGCATTCTAAAGTTTATGAGTATCCAATTTTTTTTTTAAAATAATAATGCCTTTTTTTTAAAATAATAATGCTTTAATTGAAGTAGGACTCAACCAAGATCAGATCTTGTCTCAAAAACTTTATAGTGATACTTATGTTACTAATTATGTATTTATTGTAGAACTAATTAATATATTGGGATGGGCTTAGTTGGGGTTGATGGGTCGGGATGAGTCATGATGGGCTGGGCCAATGGGTGGATGAAAATTGTGGTATTTGGCGCCAAACTTACGTACTTGTTGCGTTGTATTTCCCGATCTTTATTTCTCTAAAAAATTTGGTTGAAATTTGGTATGGGTAAGATACTCAAAAAATTATATCAAAAAATTCCACCGGGAACCGCCCCAATTGGCGACGGCCGGACAGAACCTCCTATATAAAAGGCTAAGTGAACACTTTAAGCTGGTTCAAGGGCCTATTTGACCCTTTAACCTTTTTCTATTTTTTTTCATATCCTTTTTCATTCTTTTTCATCTTCTCTCCTACTTTTTCTATATGGTTCTTTATTCTATTATTTTTTCTTGAATATTATGTCTAACCCTATTGTAGCAAATGCTAGAATACAGGAGTGCAATTTTTGTTGTAGTTTTAGGCTACGACCAAGCAAAACATGTTATTATGACCACAGTATTTTTGTCAAAAAATAAAAATACTTTATTCAAAACTCAAATGTCCAATTGTGGGAATTAATATACTTAAAACTAACTGATGGAGTATATGGCCCAAAGACCCCCGGCCCACACACTCCTACTTCTCCTATACAGGCTCAATGGACACAATAAGCACACAAGGTCCAGATACGACGACCCGAGCCTAGAGAAGCACATGGTACACATATGGGTGCTCTCGGCATCATGGCCGAGGGCTCGAGATTCCAAGAAACAGCTAATGTTGGACCTGCGAAGCTGCTGAGAGATTTTGGCTAAAATGGCAGCCTTCGGCCAACCAGGGTGCCCTCGGCACACACCCCTAGCCTTCGGCCATATGGTATAGGGGCCGAAGAGTCTTCCCTCAGCGAAGATTCCTTCTGGAGACAAGCAACCACTGCATTCAATGTGACGTCACGTCCAACCACCGCATTTAATGTGGTGCCACATGCGAATGTCGGTGCTAGCCCGATTGAGATGACCCTCCACCGTCGGATGTTTGACACGTGTACGCGCATAGCATTTAATACATTTGACTTTCTCCCTCTTACTTGTTTGCTCCGAATTCTCTCTAGATATTTCTTATAATATCCCTCAGATAAGCTATCCTTGGGTACACAATCCATCACTAACTCATAAATCACTAAAGACATGAAGATTGAATTTCCTAGTATGAAAAGAAACTTTATTTTACTCAACATACCGTGTCTCGCATAGATCTCGAAAAAAATGTTATGAAAACAATTGCTCTGATCACATACCCGAGCGGGATATATAGTGTATTTAAAGTTACTGAAAAAGTCGTGTTTAGGCTAGGATGTTAGCCCCAAACCTACAAAATGGGCATGTGATTAAATTAAATCCATTATCCCTCCTTCAGTAACACGAAGTGGATGGATATTTGATTATGCATGTAGCGGCCAGCATGGTGGACGTTATAAATAATTTGATCCACTTGTGAATCTCTTCTTCTTAGATATGATATGATCTTTTTTGTTATTTCAGGAGCTGGGGTGTTTGGTCACCTATCAGACTCAAGAATGGGAAGGAAAGGCTCATTAACTTTGGTTTGCATTATGAACGCCATCTTTGGAGTTGCAACTGCATTCTCACCCAACTATTGGGTCTACGCCATCCTCCGTCTTCTCTCCGGTTTTAGCATTGGCGGAACCGGTCTTTGCGCCTTTGTTCTATCCACAGAGCCCATCGGTCCAACCAACCGTGGCCTTGTCGGCATGTCCACCTTCTACTTCTTCTCCGCTGGGATAGTGCTTCTGTCAGCCATAGCCTACCACTTCCAAACGTCGTGGAGAGCTCTCTACATTGCTTCATCTATCCCGTCCATTCTTTATGTTTTTCTTGTACTCCCCTTCCTCGAAGAATCCCCTCGTTGGTGTCTCATTCAAGGGAGGGCGGAGCAAGCCATAAAAATAATGCAAAAGATTGCAAATTCAAACGGAAAACACCTCCCGGAAAGCGTCCTGCTTGTCCTCGACAATCCCGAAAATTTACTGCAATTATCCAGCTGCTTATCCTTCACTGAGGTTCTCCAATCTCCTCTCACCCGTCTCCGCTTGTTGCTAGCCGTTACAATTAACTTCATTTCTTCCACTGTGTACTACGGGTTGAGCCTGAACGTCATTAACCTCAAAGGGGCCAACCAGATTTATCTGAATGTTGCCCTGAATGCCGTGGCTGAAATACCGGCATGTTTCTTGGCGGCGATGTGGCTTGACAAACTCGGAAGAAAGCCTTTGACAATTGGGACACAATGGTTCAGTGCGGTTTTCTGCGTCACCGGCAGTCTGATGAACGGTTACGGGGTGCCGCGATGGACCACAATGATTTGTGGAGTTCTCGGGATTTTTGGGATTGCAGGAACTTACAACTTACTGTTCGTCTTCACGATGGAGTTGTTCCCGACGGCTGCGAGGAACGTGGCACTTGGTTGCGTCACACAGGCAGCACAATTGGGGGCCATTTTGGTGCCGTATATTGTGCATCTTGGTGGTGGTGGCAGCATTCCTTATTTGGTGTTCGGAATTTGTGGGTTTGCTGGAGGGTTGCTCACCTACTTCTTGCCAGAGACATTAAACAGACCGTTGTATGATACAGTCGATGGGATGGAAGAAGGAGAAGGTGATGATCGTTGTGCATGAATTCTTGCACATGTGAATGACCATCCATCATTATCATATCCAATAGTAAAATGAGAAAAGTGCTTAAACCAGAGTATAACATTATGCCAATAATCCAAAAGAGACCCTTAATTTTAACGAAGTAAAAAAAAGTTCGGATTTACTATCAGGTCCACAGTAAACATAGGGATACACAGAAATCAGACCAAAAAGAAAACATACCGTTTTGCATCAAAATGTTAATACGTATTGAATTCGAGTTGAATGAAGAATCAAGGATTAGACAATTGAACCTCAATTTAGATATAACACATGTAAGAAACGGTGTTTCTTAATCAAGCTTCCATGGACCATCAGAAATGCCAATATATAATCGATGGATATCTTCAACCTTATTCCACAACAAAATCTACTGGCTGCCAAATGTACGCCTGTTGAAATTGCCATTATAAGCTCCACCGTTGTTTAGAGGGGGAGGAGGGTCTCTTGGTCTTGCATACTCCGCAAAAATAACCCATCCATCCAGAAACTACAAAAAACAGGAATGGCACTGGTAACTGGTAAGGATAACTTATCAGAATTATTATAAAAATGCATATACAATACGTTTTTAAAATAAATATCCAAAATATGCGTAAAAATGTCATTTCATTTTACCAAAGAACTAAATAACTTCTTACCCACTTTCTTACCAAATTAATTCAGTCAGGCTCTAAATAATCCGTAGTAGAAGTTAGTTCTGGTGAACAATTCGACTTCAAGTCTAATGATAAAATACCAGCACTACTAGTCTACCACTCTACCTCATTGTTTGTTTAATTCGACTTCTTGCCCATTATTTTTCTACACATTTTTAAACCTTGAAGAGAAATACCAAATGTGAAAAACTGAGTTCTCCACTCTCTATTTTGTATAAGTTACTATAAACAAGTTACTAGTGTTAACTATGATCTTAACACCACTAACTTTTTTCCTTTTTCATGTTCTTACATATGCTTATCTCAAACCGAACTTAAGAATCTACCACTTTCTATTCCCTTGAACTTCTTTCCTTCCGACTCTACATACTACATCCTTAAGGTGCAATGAAAAATAGGTAGAAATACATATCATGATTGGAGTAATGGAGTCCATATGTATAGAGCATATTTAACTTGGGCCCGTCTTTGGTTATACTTTCCTTCTACAGCTCCTTTCTACCCCAGAAACATAAGGTTAACATTTATGAATCGTGTTGTCAAAGTTCTATATTAAAACACAGTGAAGTAGTAAACGTCAAAATGGGAATATTTACATGTGCATGTTCAGGGTGGGGATTGAGGAATGCATAAGCCCGCAAAATAAACATAACTAATCCAACAAGTAATAAGAATGAAGGGAATGTTCATCTCAACTCACCTTGCCATCCATGCCTTTGATACCGGCTTCAGCTCCTTCCAGAGTTGAGTATCTAACAAAACCAAACCCCTTTGAAAACCCAGATACTCGATCAGTCACTACTTTAGCTACAACCAGAAAGAGAATTAGTTAATTATACTCCTTAGTGTCTTCTCATTGTGATGAATATCTTAGATTTCTAACTAAATTCTAAGGGTGTTAAGATCCTGAAAACGCTAGGGAATGAGGACAAACTGCCAATGAAAGGTGCTTTCTTAACCAGGGTTTTATATTGGAAAATGAAATATGATTTTTTTTTAGAATTACATATATTTAGGCTTCTTAGCTTCCATATAAATTATAATAGACATAAATATACAAAGCGGGTATCATCAAATGTCTAAGATGAATTTATAAACTCATAGCCTACCTCTACCCTCTCCCACAATTCCTTTCTTTTCAACTTTCATCTGTTTCCTCTTGCCTATTCTACTTCTTTAGTATTTTCCGGGATCCCAACAGACCATTAAAGTGTGGATATGGAACACACCTTGAAGCACCTCACCAAATTCTTCAAAAGCCGCTTTAAGCCCATCTGATGTTGTGCGCTTGCTAAGACCTTCACGCGAGAGAAAAAGTTAACCTACCCCTCCAACAATTTTATGAGAACCAAACATCACACCATACAATATTTCTTCAAAAATTATGCAAGATAAATCTAAGTCCTAAGAAGTTAAGAGGAAATTAAAGATGCCCATCAACATATTGAGGCAGAACCATTGCATATTTGCATCTGCAATTCATAAATCAGAGCATATCTACAGAACTACGGAGTACATAGTTTAATAGTAATCATATAGCTAAATCTAAAGAGATACATGACTATTCAAAATTTCAAGCATTCATTTAATTTTAAAATTAAAACTTTAAAAAGGGGAAGGCGTCAAATTTTCAACCCTTCAACAAAAGAATATATAAGAAACTAAGGAAATCAAATCACTCAGCTACAAGAACAATAACTTAACAGTTAATACTACAGAATCTACACTATCAGTAAACTGTCCTAATAAAAGCATGTTTTAAACCTCATAAAGTCAAAATTTATATGCCAAAATCATATCTTTATTTCATCTGTTTAAATTCCAAATTCTATGAAAAAGAAATAAACTTCTGAGCTACTGGAATTCCCAGGAAAAAAAGAATGGCCCTGATGCAGTCACACAGACGACTGACTTCAAGAATCTAAGCATAGAAATCGAAAAAAAGGTGTACCTATAATGTAAAAAATAAGATAAGATCTTCAAGATGTGAGAATAATACGAGGGAAATTGTATGGCATACCTGAAACGAAGAGATTGGTAGACGGCTCAGCGGGAGGTGGCTGTTCAACATGTGTCTGCGGTGGATTGAACGGAAAACTTGATGAAAAAGTCGAGAATAGAGCTCTAAGGCCTCGAGGAGCTGCCGTGGTTGTTGCCGCCGCTGCTCTCAACGCCATTTTGGGGTTTAAGTGCGTATACCCACGAGGGTTCTAACGAAACCAAAATGAAAGGGGAACACGTATTTAAGATAAGAAATGGGGAAATCAACTTTTCAATTTTGTAATTGTCATTTCCATTATAAAAATAAAACAAGGGTACAAACTTCTAACAAACCCACACCACCAATGATATACGAACAGGCCGGTTTGTAGTTCTACTCTGTATGTTTTACTTGTTATATTTAAAGTAGTTTAAGTGTGTGAATTATTTAATATGGAATATTTACTTAAGTACTATATATGATCACTTTTAAACTTGTGAATATAACATTCGGACAAGCAACATAAAGTATATATTTTCTAAATAATTTTAGAGAAGTATTTCTTGATTTTATTAGCTATTTGAATTACTATACGTAAGTACTAATGATAAAAGTATTGAAGTTATATTTTTTTTGAAAAGTCTTACTCTTGGTCTGACACTCTGAAATCTTTTTAGAACACTATTATTCTTCTGTTAAGAATCGGGTCTCTTCGGTGATCTCATTCTTTCTGTTCAGCTAGCTTCTGTCAGGGATTGGTACGTGTAGCTTCGGTGATTACGTTTCCATATCCTTTCTGGGTAATGTGGGTACACACTCGAGACTGTATTCCTTACGGTTAGTATGCCACTGTCTAGATCCAGTTTCTTGAGTTAAAGGTTAAGTAAATTAATCTGTCTGATTAATGATACATTTTTACAACATGAATTATCTGATAATTGGATATCTGAACTTGTTCTATCTTTATATGAATAAACTGAAATGTACTAGTATGTAAGAAGCTGTTCTGTTCATCTTATTCTTATTACTTATTGTTTATTCTTATTTTATTCAGATCAGATCAGAAAAATTTAAATTAGATCAGATCAGATCAGAAAGATTCAGATCAGATCAGACCAGAATCATTCAGATCAGATCAGAAAGATTCAGATCAGATCAGACCAGATCAGAAAGATTCAGATCAGATCAGAAGCATTCAGATGAGATCAGAAAATTTCAAACATGATTTATCACTTTTATTATTATAAAATAATAAAAATAATAATAATAATTATTATTATTATTATTATGATTGTTAATATTATGATTATTATTGAGGTGATGATTATTATGATTATTATTATTATTATTATTATTAGTATTAGTATTATTTCCGTTGTTATTATTATTATTATTATTGTTATTGTTTTTATTATTGCTATTATTACTATTATCATTACTATTATTACTATTTTTACTATTATAATTATTATTTTTATTAGCTTTATGATTATTATTATTATAATTACTCCATATTATTATTATAATTATTATTATTATTATTATTATTATTATTATTATTTATTTTTATTAGTATACAGAGTAATTATAATTATAATTATAATTACAATTATATTTACAGAAATAATTATAATTAAAAATATAATTACAATTATAATTACAGCTATAATTATAATCAGTGCAGTATGTATAATTTTTTATAACTTTAATTATAATTATAATTATAATTATAATTATAATTATAATTTATATTTATAATTATAATTATAATTACAATTATAATTAAATATTTTTAGAATTATGACTATAAATATAAATTATATTTAAAGTATATTTATAATTACAATTATAATTATAATAATTATATTATAATTAAAGAAATATTCAGATCAGATCAGAAGGATTCAGATCAGATCAGAAAGATTCAGATCAAATCAGAAAGATTCAGATCAAATCAGACCAGATCAGAAAGATTCAGATCAGATCAGAAAAATTCAGATCAGATCAGAACTTAATAAATTCAGATCAGAAGCATTCAGATCTGACGAAGAGAACAGCTTCTAAGTTTATCCAGTTCAGTCAATTATGTTTATATGTTCGCTTGATCACATGCTAAGGGTCTGTTTGCAACAGCATCTGCTTTTAAAAAAGTGCTTTTTTTAATGAAATGGAGAGAAATGATTAAATAAAAGTTGATAGTGTTCGAGAAAAAAGTGATTTTGAAAAGTAAAAGTGGGTAGTGTTTGGTAAAATAAGTGTTTTTTGTGTAATAGAAAAAATAAAAGCACTTTTGACGCGGAAGCCGAGAAAAATAAAAGTTGTAGTGTTTGGGAAAATAAGTGTTTTTTTAAAGCCAAAAGTTGAGAAGTGCTTTTTTAAAAGGAGTTGCAAACCAACCCTAATTATGCTAGGTTTGCTATATGTTACAATATGTTATACTACTATTTGTTATCCCCGTACCACTCAGCACATTGTTGAGCGGGTAGTTGTTTGTTGTTTTTCCTACCCGTAAGTCAAGTTCAAGATCAACCTGAAGCATCGGGATGGAGGGAGGCATAGGATTCATATGCATATGGTGTGTTTTGGGGTCCTTTAAAGTATGGGATGTGTATTAAAATAAACTTTATTTTGATATTTTGTAATAACCTTCCGCTGCAGTTTAACGAATTTTGTAAATTTTGACGGTATGCCTGTTTAATAAATTTTTACTTATTTTGGGATAGTAAATTCCAATTACTCAATAATAAAAGTATGTTGTAAATGTGTCAAATATGGCCTAACCTGATGAAATTTTTAATTAAACCTGTTTCGATTTCCGCCTCGTGACACACCGCTCGGGTCGGCGGGGTCAATCCGGGTGGGGTGTTACAGGACATGTTCATGGCAAAACCCAAAACTCTCGTATTTTTCCTTTGGTGAAATGGAATTTCTGGAATTTTTTTGCAAGTCATATGAGATTGGTTTCGGATCCGCATGTCCCTTTTTAATGTTGTGTACACTAGATTCGCACCCGTGCAATGCACAGGGACATATATGAAATAATAGTTACTTCATACATTATAGTATTTAAGATGTTTTTACTTGAATTGAAATTTGTTGATTTTTTCAATGAAAAAAGTCCAAATGTTGTAGCTATGAAATATAAAATGACCAATCATGTTTTCATAAAAAACAATACAACACCGTTTTCCATCTTCCATGAAGTTCAAAAAGACTCCTTCCTGGAATATGACCCCAGTATAGTTAGATGAAATGGTTTGAAGACATTCTTACCCCGGTTCATCAAGCATGTGACAGATGCGGAGTATATGGTATGGTGACATGATGAATACGAACTTTGACATTTCTTCAGTGTGAGTGTTAACTGGAAAAGTATTTAACGTTTGCTACTATTTTGAAAAATTATTTAGTGTTAGCTAGTTTGTGACTTATGATATTTTACCTGGATTTCTCCCCAAGCAGATTGTTGATAGTTGTTATTATGACCAGTACCCTTCATGCTCTTTTATTTAAGACTTGTACATATCAAGTTGTGGCCTTTTCGCCATAAAATGGATTTGAGTCCCCTGTAAGAAATATTTAATGTTAAAATTTAAAATTTAAATAAAACTGATACCAAGCTAAATACTACGTAAGGAGTGTTTGCGGTTGATTAAAAAAAGCACTTTTCATCTTTTGGCTTAAAAAAAGTTAAAAAGAGTGTTTTCAAATGGCAGCTTCTGCTTAAATTAATCACTTAAAAGCTAAAAGCTGGAAGCAGGTGGAAGGGTGCTTTAAACTGCTTTTCACTTTTTCTATTACACAAAAAGTACTTATTTTACCAAACACTGCCAACTTTTACTTTTTCAGAATCACTTTTTTCTCAAACACTACCAACTTTTACTATTAATCACTTTTCCCCAAATCACTTTAAAAAATCACTTTTTTAAAGTTGAAGCAATTGCAAACACTCCCGTAGTATTAACACTGGAGCGTTTTTATTGAAGAAGGTGATGGATAGTCTACCCGGGGGGTATCTTATCCGAGGGGTTATTACGGGAATAACTAGAGAGAAGTCAGAGCAAATAGGAGGAGAGAGAGTCGATTGTATTAAATGAACTCAGCGTGGTTTACAAGGAGAATAAGGGCTGCTATTTATAGCAGCAATAAATGTGATGAGAGTACACGTGTCAGTAATCCAACGGCCGAAGGGTCACATCAGCCGGTTGGCACCGGCAGTGGTACGTCCACCGCATTGAATGCGGTTGGCGGATGTGACGTGGCATTAAATGCGGTGGTTGGCTGTCTCTAAAAGGAATCTCCAATGATTGAGCGTGTTTGGCCGAAGGCTCCTTGTGTAGCCGAGGGCTCCATGTGATCGAGGACCCCTGTGTGGCCGAAGGCATGGTGTGACCGAAGGCTTGGTTCAGCCGAAGGCCTCTCCGATGCCGAGGGCTTGATAGTGCCGAAGGCTCATGTTTTTCGCCGTTTTCTCCCAATAGCTTCTTATGCCAGAGAAGGCTATCCTGCGAGTTTTGGAGCCTTCGGCCAAGGAAGCCGAAGGCACCCCAGTGTGTGTTCTGGGCTATGTTGAGGCTTGGGCCGCCGTATTTGGGCCTGAGTTGTTCTCTGGGCCCAATGGACTTGTGTAGGAGAAGTAGGAGTCTATGGGCCGGGGGCTCTCGGGCCATATACTCCATCAGGAGTCCCTCACTCCTTTTGCCGAAAGGTACTTGAGGGGAAAGGAGTAGATGTGTTGATTCTTCTGGAGGCTTTGTTATTTCATTGGGGAAAGGTACTTGAGGGGAAAGGTTTCTGTTATTTTTCTCTCCTCTACACAAACTTTAACCATATAGTTTTGTTTTATTATTCTACGTGTCGATCAACTTTGGCAAAGTTTTAAGGAACAAAAGTAGTACAATAATAAGGTGTAGAAACTGTTCATAGACCCTCATTAATGCTATTACACCGTAAATCAAGTTTGAAAAAGCAAAAAGTTCTACATGCTTATTGAGAATTGACAACCGTAGTACAATATAGGGAAAAGGGGCAAAAAAACCCCTAAACTTATCACTAAAGGACATCCAAGCCATTAAACTTAATAATAGAGCAAAAATATGTCTATTCCACTAAAAGAGGACAATTTGCCCCTTCTCTAACGTTAAATACCGAATAGATAACAGCCATGTGCTGAAGCACCCTACGATGGTCAATAAAGTTTAAGAAGCTCAAAATTTTTAAATGTGATAA